AATATTGTGTTTTTGATTTTTCGTTACAGTATATTTGACTGGAATATTTTATTGCTTTTATTTGCGGGATAATCGAAAACCAAAATGGCGATCATTTAGGCATAGCACCATCTCTCTCCCAGATTTCAGACTTTCAGATCTGAAACATTTATTTTCGCATCAAAACTAATCCTGAAACAAAACAGTGAAATTTCTATTAGTATAAAACAGGGAATAAGGACATTTGATCACATTTTGGTCCGTCATAAATGAAACACTTGCCAAATTTTAAATATCATCTCCCTCTTCTATCACACCCAATGTGAGCTATAGTGTCATTGACACTTTCATTATTTATAGCATTAATGAGAAAATAGCCTACATTACTGTTTTACCTGAAGGATAACACGCCATAATTTATCAACATTTTACACATTTGAAATCGAGAATGCAAGCGTGAAACATGACATTGACAAAGACACTTTTGACATCATTCACGATCTGCATTATAGTATTAGTATACATGTTCAACAGCTACTATGCAATGCTGCACGCTAGAACATTTTGTGGACAAGCAAGAGTCGGTGAAACAGTCTTATCTTTATTTTTGGAAAAAACCAAATTTGTGGTGGCTGGTAAATTATGGTGAGGGCTGGTAAAAAACTGCTTTTAATAAAATAAAATTCAATAAAATCACAAAAAACAGTTGACAATAGCATTGGTAATGATATGGTTTACATTCAGACAAGTTTCAGAGCGAAATGACTTACAATTACGACTTTTTTTTAGCCCTGTGTTTCGGTGCCGGTTCCGGTTTCAAAAGTTGTACCAAATAATTTTTTTCCCATGCAAATATGTAAACGGAATTTTTATTTTTTCATGTGTATAAAGTCTATGGCAAAACGGAATTTCCGTTTTTCAGCCACTTTGAAACGGAATTCATGATTTTCCCAAACGGAAAAGGCCTTTTTTTGAAACGGGAAATCACTGTCCCTACAACATCAATACCACATAATTCTCAAATCCCACAAATGCCATAGACTGGTATCCTGCATTTACACTTAGTCTACATTTGTCTACATGTTGAGATACGGTACCAGTTTAGAAGAATTTTGATGTTTATTTAATGTTTTATAGCCTATATTTAAAGTATAACAGTACAAATGCATGGTAATTTTATACTGGAGTAATCCGTAATGTGTCCATTGATAGGTGAGATCTAATTTGTTTACATATATGTTAATATTTTTCAGACATAATAATTTTAATATATTTAAAGGGAAGGTATAAGTGGGAAGAAAAGAAAGAGGTACTTGGATCTCTGTTCATTTTAAACAGTCAGCTGGGAATTACCGTTGTAATAATTATATTATATATTGATCAGAAGCAGGATGAAGTTTTTGCTGAATTCTACTGATTCACGACTAAACTTTCTAGCTACATGGCTGCAGTTAGTTTCAGTGTCTAGACCAGCAATAGTAGTGCTGTCTATCCTAAATAGGATCATGTTCCGTGTATTTGGAAATGTACATGTTACAAGTTATTTATTTACGTTATTATTATGATTTAAAAAATAAATAAATGGTGTAGGATAGCGCACGCTCCCGCAGAGATTAAATATACCGCCTTACACTAGCCGCCCCACATAAGCAATCACCATAAACAACACACCTCATCGCTCCAAGTGATACATAATAATAGAACGCCGCAGGTAATCACTATACACAACGCCCCTTATAGCATCCGAGTACACTAATGACTCGAGGGCCGATCTGGGATGGCTAGTCCCCAGGTAGGGACTCGGCTCTCATCCCTTCCGCAGCACGGTCCAGGTTTGCCCGCGCTCCTGATCTTGTTCCTTCTATACTCCTCCTTGCCACCTTCCCCTTCTACCTTGACCCCTGCCGAGCTACTTTGCGATCCACGTCTCACGGTAGGAGTTTACTGATATTCGGTTAAGATTCTGTGTGTATCATGTAGTCATCTATGTAGTATCGTAGAATTGTGCGTGTAAGGAATATTCTGTAGTGTAAAACAAAGCACGAAGGGTAGTTTTCATAATACTGTGTTTCTGTTATCTATCGACGCAACCTGACACTACCCTTAAAACGGGTGCCACTACCTCACCTACTAAACCGAGAACCTGGGAACGGGAAGCTGAGAGTACCTTCCTTAGACTGGAGTCGTGACCAGAAAAACCTAGAACCCTACCCTTCTAACCCTACTACTACTACTACCCTACTAGACCTAGAAAAACAACATAATTAGGTTAAATGCTCATAAGAACACCAACTGTGTGTGCAATATATGTTAACGTTTCTAATTCAGATTCATAATTGAATCTCATCATAAGCCATCTAAAGTAAACCATGAGGATTGCTCACAGAATAAG